ATAACTTCAGCAGGGGGAGGATAGGTTGGACATATGTCAGGTTATTTTCTACGGCCACACCAAGTAATTGCTATGGATGACGTCCACTGGAGACCTTAAATCTAATTGGCAATAAAAACACGAAGGGCCGAAAAACGAGATGCCTAGATTTGGAATATACTAACTGTAGAAGTACAAATGTTAGGACACAAAGAACACATGAAACAAGTCTTCTATTTGTCATAAAGACAAATTAACAAAACAGCAGTAGTCACCCTGTTCTGATTCTTTCCTTTATAACATCTTCTCTTATTATATTTTGCGGCGTTGTCGTGTCACTTTCAACACAGTAAGAATTTCTTGAACGTTTTTTTTCCAGTAACAGTCCAAACTCAAATAACGTAGGGGGGGGGGGGCTAACACGGGTGACGACGCATCTGTATAATCTGCGGCAAACCGTTTCAGGGTGTTCTGTACCATAAAAATAGTACAGAGATTCTTTTGTTCTTTAGACCAAATTGATTATTAAAAAGAGTGAAGAATACGCATGTTAATCTCTAGAACGATGTACCTCTGACGAAGACATGAGATCTCCGACCTCTAGTTAAACTATAAAGAGAAGATATCATGAGATAATTCGTGTGTAAAACTACGTGTACATAAACCCATCGTTTTAGTCGTTGGTGGGAATTCAGCTTTTTTGCGTGCCTTACGTTTTTCTCACAAGAAACATACCTACGTTGAAGTCTACAGCTTATACTAATTCCAACTTTCTTGTACGGCAGAAATGAAGTCAGTTTATGATGAAATATAAGAGTGAGTCTAACCAAGATATATTCTTAAAATTATAATACACTTGATATTCTAACGAAATTTAATAATGATGTTGACCGTCGCGTGACCTTCGATCCGTCAGCACTGGTTCTTTTCTGGACCTGCTCGCCATTTTCGTGTCGCAGTCTGTAGCCAGGCAGAACGACCGCACGCCGGCACACAGACCAAACAAACATGGCGGCGCCCTGCACACGCTTTCCACCTGTCGTCTCTGGGTCCCAACAGTGGCAGTGTAGGTTACTGGGGCCTCGGTTTGTCTATAACTAAAGGCTTACCCTCCAAAACAGTACTCTAGGTGCAGTTTTACCGATGTGTTCCCACAGGATTGCACGCACATTTAGAACTATCATTTAGGAAAGTTGGGGTGGGGGATATCCTTACCATCTAACTATCATAGGGTTTTGCCAACTCTTTCCAATCATTTTCAGCGCTATACTTGCATATGCTCTGAAAGTTCAAGATGTAATTTTGTGCAGTTGTACGTCGGAGAGGTAAAGATATCCTTAATCTTATCTTCCAAACACTGAGTTAATTGGGATAGCCTATAGCTAAGTCCGGCCTAGATAGCCGACATGCAGGGGCACTGGAGATGGGAAAGGGACAGATCAGAGCATAATGTTTGAGGCAGAAACGAGGGAACTGGGAGAAAGAATAGAAACATTTACTAACGGTAAATATATAGAAGACAATAACTGTGAAGAAACATCTAACAAGCCTGGTTGGATACTGGAACATATTCGTACTAAATCTACCTGTCGCCAACTGTCTGACCTACTCCCAGTATGTTAGTTCTATGAACGTGCAACCAACAAATAAAAATCTATTCCAAGGGGACGGACTTTCAACAGATCGGCCCACACAGGTAGATGGATTATCACGGGTATTTGCGGTTGATCTGCATGGTTTTTGTTGTGTTTTTGGTCTATGTCAGCACTTTTATGTATTGTTTAGTCATGGCATCTTCAAATTTTCATGTGTCTTTCAAGTTTTATGTGTACTTTCTCAACCTATGAAAATTGTTCTTTTTGTTTTCTTTAAGGCCATTTGCTTTCATTTTTTACTTGTATGGCGACTCCCATGAACTCCAAGCAGAGGTTTGGGTTTTGACTTGGCGTGGGTTGGCGTAAAAAAAATTCCAGTGCAAAAAAGAAACCCCGTTTAAAAAAAGCCTAAAAACACGCCAAAAAAGCCAAAACCTCTGCTTGAAGAGAACTCCAAGCAGATATTGGTATGGAAGGCCGTAGCGTTCTCTAACTTGTTCCGTTCTCGGACACACGGGTGGGACTAGCAAGCAAGAATGCCGTTACCTTTTTCCCTCCAAACATCTACTTGGAGATCGCAGCCCCCTTACCCACTCGCATACCGACCGAGCCTCCACGTCGCGCCAGCTGCTGCAGTCTGCCGTGTGACCCATGTTATACAAACCGTTTAAGTCGTCGAAAAACTCCGTGTGTAATTAAAAGTCTATAGTTACCGGGATCTTGACCCAGCCGGTGGCTCTTGTAGTAGTAACGCTTCACCCTCGAGCGCCGAGTGGTGGGCACACACAAGAAATCTCTCCACCAATCCGACGTACTTTCTTATCAGTTGTTGATAAAATTCTAACATTCTCTGTACAAGAGGTATGCTAATTGGATAACGGAAGAGGTAGCACACGTCCGTGTGTATGTGTTCTTTCACTCGTTGCCGACTACCTGGTCCAAACGCACGCAACGGATACAGGTAAGGTTTCTGTGTCATTGTGTCTAGCGACTGTAGGGCACTAGACAGTACTGTCATGAGCGACATTAACTTAATTTCCGTAACAGTACAAACGTAGGAAGTACTAACGACTAAGTATTTTGCAGATGTCTAATTATATGTATTGTAATGTCGGAGGTCACGTTTAAGCTATCGCAGGGCATAATAATCACTGCAATATCTAACAGACAAGAACTATTTGTGTCTTATACCATCTTCCAAATCTTATGTGAAACCTATTTCCGAAACCTCACTTCACCCAGGTGTACAAATGGGTGACTTAGGTTGGGGAGGTAAAAGGCGGTGTAAATAGGGTTGGGCTCTGCCTACCAATACCGTGTCCTTGACACAGTGGATAACAACCCACTTTACCTCTTTACCCTTGTCCGAAACTTGCGGCCAATGTGCATAGATTGAAGCGGTCTTTGTTCTTGAAAAGTATCTCTACGGACATCAAGTAGGCAATGGCAAACGCAGATCTATTTTCTTTCCCCGTGTGCTGCGTTCAAGGTCGCGTCCAGTGATCAGCCACAGGTGTGTGCAGTATGTGTCAAGAGCATCAGGAGTAGAATCCTTAGTGCCCTCGTGAACCACTGTTTCCTGCGGTCACGGCCAACTCACAACCGTGCGCCTCCGAGCGGCAAATTGCAAAGAGGACGTTGCTTACATACAATAACAGAGAGTGTAGTTGTGCCACATCTGTGCATAATATTCCTCGTCTAATCATGATCATTCATGCATTTTGTTTAAAATGATGTCTTAAAAACTGATACATGTAATATGATAGTTAGATAGCGTAATAGTCAGTATCAAATAGCCACTATCAGATAATCCGTATGAGACAAGCGCCTGATAACAAAATCATCACCTCTTAACAAGTCTGCTTAACGTTCTTTGCACTTCTTTATCTTAGCAAAGGTATGTATAGGAACTAGTCGAGATCGCCACCCAACAAGGGTTTCTCATCATATATGTCTCATTGATGACAAAAAGCCATTCATTAGTCTTGACATTGAAGCCTTACTGAAGGTGGTAGTGACATGCAGACTTGTAGGTGAAACAGATCGCTAGTTAGTACCGTTCGTTCTGAGTAGTGGACATGATGTGGGTTATGGTCAGCGAGCGCTGAGAGGTCCAGTCTATTGTTGCTGTAAAGTTAACATTACATGGAGCACGCTTGGAGCAAAGTCAACGCTGCGGAGGCCATTGTCTGTAAGTCCTTTCTTTGGTTGTAGCTCTTTGTCGTTGTCCTTAGTCGTTGTAAGATTGGCTTCTGAAATTAACCTAATACTGGCTTTGAGTGTGAACGTTAACATGTACAACACTTGTATATTACGTGTATAACGCTTGTGTATTACATTTGAAAGTGTCGTCGTTGTATTTTGTTTCAGTATTTCTTTAAAAATCTAGCTTCAACACGTACAGCAAACTCAGTGCATTCTGAGAAGGGAAATGCTATACCCTTGAAATAACTCTTCTGATTGTAGTCTCACCACAGAAACCGCCAACGATTTCCTCTATAGAAAGAAACTAGACTAGTACTTCAAAGTTCGGAGTGACAACATGGCCGTTCCCCATCAGATATCACCCTTCCTGGATCATCTTGTTGTTGCTTCTCAGAAGTTTATCCGATCGCGGTCATGACCTGGACTCTGGATTGATTTGTCACGTCACAGATTGTCGGATTCAGGGTTGAACTTGATCTTCCTACCATAAAACCGAGGTCATGAGTTTGTTTGATTCGAGGCGGTCTCGACGAATCCGACGCCAGCTTTACTTCCAGTTCTTGGAAGACGTGAGCGGGCTGCTAAGTGACATGTATCTTGCTCGTCTCAGTGGTTGTAGGTACGCGGTGCTACCACCATGTCTTCTTCCCGCTTTTATAAACACCTGTGTTGATGCAACAAAGAGGTGCGCATGACACCACGTGGCCCTTGTTTTCTACTATCTGAGAGTACTTGTGCTAAGTTGATCCACAAGCGATTCGTATGGTCTATTGAGCTGTGGTGGGATTTCAGAAACAGAGATTGAAAAAGATAATTTTTCAACTAACAAGCAATTCTGTATGTTGATGTGCAGTTTTCGTTTGTCAATCTAGTATCATATTGTGTGAAGTAACACTTCAGTCAAGTTCAGAAACACAGCATTTTCTGCCCCAGCCCTCATCCTTTGAAAACGTGGTTGCCATTCAAACTTGTGTTCTTGTATGTGCCCCCCTCCATGCGATTATAGGCCTTCACATACTTCTCCAATGCCAGTCCAAAAGAGTTTAGACATGCCCTTGTAAATTAAGACATCCGATGACAGACAAGCGTGCTTAAGTTTGCAAATCGTGTATTCCTGTTGTATTTGTGGACTAGTTGGGGTTGTCGGAAAGTGCTTGGTGTATAGTGATTGCATTTCGGAGATGGCCCTCGAGATAGGATGGTAAGAACGATTTGGGTCGGAACCAAACTTTCACTGGCCGGTATTGGCGTGACAAATCCTAGCGTGGAGTTGGACACGGTGTCCTCCCTGCTCTAGATGGCTAGAACAAATGAGAGGGATGTTCTGTGTGTGGTTCCGTCGTCTCGTTCCCATGTCGGGTCAGTGGCTGTGTTATCATACGGAGCTCCCCCACAAACCGCAGGTATTTCCCCTCCGCATGCCTTTCTCTCACGTGCCCCGGTTCTAGTCTTACAGCTGCTGGTGATGCCTGCCTGTTTCACGTGCTTCATGATCACCACCTGCAGCTGCTTGCCGACAGCGCACCTGTTAGAGTTCTACCTCTTCCGTCGCGTGTCCTATCCTTGTCAGCAGTTTCCTTGATTGCTGTCTTTGTCCCCGTTTTGACTCTCTCCCCAATAACTAGTTAACGTCACATAAATGTATCATGTTACAACGTGGCACTTATCTGCAAAATATTAGAGTCGAACTTTCAACCAAACTGTTATTTTCAAGTCAGTCAACAAGTCCTCCCTTCTACACTACATTAAAACGCATGAGTAAGTCGCTTGGTCAAATGGTATAATACTAACATTCTTCCAGCTTGCTGTGAAACTCTTTTTGTTCCGTCGGGTCTGAGTCATGAGTATATCACTAGCGTTCTGCTCTCACGTGGGCGCTTCTTTCGACCCTTGAGAATTGACGACGACCAATTAGTTGCAGAACTTCCGCCGGCGGTAGGAGTGTGTTTGTAACATTGACGGCGTGTCCAGGAGATGAAGCGCATCGAATCCCAAACTTCCCCGATAACGCGGGGCTGACCCGCCAGGCAAGCCGGTTCGGCGCCCTCGCATTCCAGTCTAAAACCCCGCGTCTTGTGGGGCTTATGCGGGCCTTTCCCAGGAAAACTTACCCTGCCCGCGAGTCCCCGACTCTACTCTGTTTCTACCGCGGTATTAAGTCGGTATTAAGGCTTGGTTACGGGTATTACACGGGGAAGGTCACTAAATCCTATAATTGGGTTATCGTGAATCAAAACCAGTGTCTTGGCCTTATTCTACAACAGAGGACATTTGGCCATGGCAAACTTCAATATTGCTCTTTATTCACTGTATCGCCTTTACGATCACTTTCGCCAAGTTCATCTGTAACTCGTTCACCTGATGTTCCTTCTATCCCTTTGGTTACTGCTAAAAAGGAGATTGGATTCATTCCTCAAGCTAACCGACAACTAGAACACCACAGTCGTCCTTAGTAAGACATTTGGAGCCGCGTAGTTCCCGTTTAGAATTTTTATTCGGCCTTTGGCGACCGCTGTCGCCTTGTAGGCGTCTCCAAGTGTACAGAGGTTGCTTAATGTGATCATAGACCTTGAATGGTTTCTAGGCTAGGTTCTTATAGTGAGGCCGACGCAGTGAATGTTCGTCGATAGACATCTATTCTTCAGAAATGTTTTCTTCTGTGAGAAAAAATATGCTGTCACCGCATTATGGTCCCTACCCGTGATACCTAAGGTCCTGGCTAAACTGCTCAGGTTATTGCTGCATCGTGCACCTGGCGAGCCTCCAGACTTGCCGAACGACAGACACAGACGTCTATGTTCTTCAGAAATGTTTTCCTCCGTGAGGAAAAACTGCTATCACAGCATTATGGTCCCTGTCCGTGATACCTAAGGTCCTGGCTAAACTGGTGAGGTTTATTGCTGCATCATGCACCTGGCCGGCCTCCAGACTTGCTGAACTCGACCTGCCTGCACGTGTCAGCGTCGCCCGGCAACAGGAGTCCGCCATGTTTGTTGTACGTTCCGTTCTGGCGGGTCCGCGGGCTCCCCTTACACCGCCTGTACCTCCGCGGAGCAGGAAAAGAAAACTTTTATATCCCCAGTAACGATTGGAATGCTTTAAAATGTGGGCCAACGGATAAACGCGATAACATTGTTTGTAAAACGGAAAGCAGGGCCTTTCAATTTCCTGCTGTTTTTACTTCTTTTGTTTCTACAGTACCCCCGATGCTGGATAAAAGCAGCCGGTGGCTATCTCTAGTCTTTTCCACGAGTATCATTGCCCCCCTCCCCAATACTGGCTCATCAAAGAAATTTATGATATTGTATTGTCTATAGCATCAAGTGTTTGATGACTGCATGGATGGAGTGAATGAATCAATGAATCAATGAAAAAATAAGTGAATAGATGAATGAGAAGAAAACGAAGGAAGCCAAGCGAAGAGGACTGATCAAAGGAAAGAAGAAAAGAGGAAAGAACAACACAAAACACCAGCGAATCACGACAAGATGTCACCAAACAAACTAAGTCCTAGCCTCTACCAGGTTGGACCAACTCCCCTGGCATCTTATTTGTCTATTTGGACAGCGTCTTCTCTTTTCAGCCGCTTCCGAAGCCTGTTAGAGGCTACCCAAGTCCGCCCACCTGTCCATGTGCTAGCTACAGCTGGCCCTGGTCTCACGACTTCGTTGGCGGTCATTTTAAAATTTCCTGCGTTAAATTCCACAAACTGTAGCAGCTTCCTGTGGGCTGTTTGTTGCAGAACCACGGACTAAC